CTTACACTGCAGAACCTGCTTGGTATTCTCTTTCTCCCTCTCTCTCTCCTCTTCCTTCTCTCCCTCTTTTTCTCTCTCTCAAAATAAATAAATAAACTTTAAAAAAAATAGAAGGAAATTTTTACATATGCTACAACACAGATGAACTTTGAGGATATTATTCTTTGTAAAATAAATCAGTTATAAAAAGATAAATACGGGTTGATTCCACTTATATGAGTTATTTAGAGTAGCGAAAATCATAGAAAATAGATGATGTTTTCCAGGGGCTGGAGAGAGGGGAGAATGAAGAATTAATAGGTAATGGATATGGGTTTGAGTTTTAAAAGATGAAAATGTTCTGGAGATGGATGGTAGTAATTGTTGTATAACATTGTGAATATATTTAATACCACTGAACTGCGTACTTAAAACAGTTAAGACATTAAAGTTTATGTTACGTGTATATTACCACAAAAATAAAGAAAAAAGTATATATGTATTTACAAAGTGTGGACAGTCATCAAATATAATAATCACCTAAATACTGGTGATTTAAATTTTTTATCGGTATTTTCTACCTTTGTATAGTAAAATAATTTTTTATTTTGTAGAATATACAGTGAGAATGACTTTTGTAATGAAAAGTTATTTTTACAATGGCTAATTTCTTGAACAAAAATTTTTTTAAGGAAAAGAAGCTTCAGTGGTGTATCATCTTCAAAAGGAAATATCAAGAGGAAAAATTCTTTTTTTAAAAAAATGTTTTATTTATTTCTGAGAGAGAGAGACAGCGTGAGCAGGGGAGGGTCAGAAAGAGAGGGAGATACAGAATCTGAAACAGGCTCCAGGCTCTGAGCTAGTCGTCAGCACAGAGCCCGACACGGGGCTCGAACCCATGAAGCATGTGATCATGACCTGAGCCGAAGTCGGACGCTTCACCGATTGAGCCATCCAGGTGCCCGTCAAGAGGGAAAATTCTGTAGGAATTCTTTTAAGTCGATTTGAATTTTAATAAATTAAAGCACTTGGTTTAAATTTTGCAAAAAGGCTATTTTCTTATGCTTTGTCAAAAAGAAATAATGACTTGCAGCCTCTGCCTAAAATAAGTCCTGGAAATAAAGCAAATACAATTGCCTGACTTTGAGAAATAACATGAGGTAGATATTATACCAGGCCTCTGGGTGCCGCTGTCTGCCAGTCCATGGCTAGAGTGAAACAAAGCAATACATTGGCACTCTGACCCAGCGATCGCTGCTGACACTTGTGAGATATATCTGGAGTGGACTCCATATGCCTTCTCTTCCACCATCATTTCTAAATATCTGCATCAGGAACATCAGGATGTTTAATGACCAAGAGTGAGGCGCTGCCTTTTCTTTCCAACTTACCTTTGTAACCCGGGAGCAACCATGGCAAGTTGTATTAAGATCGGAGAAGCAGCATTGAGAAGAGATAAGAAGTCCCGCACAGGAAAGGCACACCGTGCAAAGTAAGCAGTTTCCCTTACTGATGTCTTTGTTCAGCCTATTGAAGTATACATCAGATGTGCTGCGAGATTCTAGAAGAAAAGGCCAGTGGTTTAAAAGTGAGGAATCTGGGCAAAGATGGGACCAGAACTACGGGTAAGTGCTGGGAAGCCTCTTTACTGCCAGAGAAGGGAACAGGGAAGAACTGGAGAATGACATGCTAGATCTAGCAGATAATGCTAAAGAAAGTCTTTAGCCCCTTGAATCTGAAACCCTCACTGGAAATCTATTGAATGCTTTCATATGAATTTATTCATCCTGGATATAAATAATTTATGGCTTTTAATTTTTGTTTAGAAAATTATGGAAAACATCTTAAAAGGAGCATAGCTCATTCTTAACCCTGATATGTTCGGATCCTGCAAGTAGTTTTTTATGACTTTTTCACATGAATTTTAACAGCCATTTCCCCAGTCCCCACAAGTAAAAGAGATGACTAAGGCAAGAATAGACCAGAGGAGCAGAGCTGCCACCACTTAGTGGTGAGGAGGGGTAGGAACAGCTCATGGCAAGATGAGGGAGTTGGATGCTAATGCCAGTCCTTCCATACTGAACCACAAGAAGTATAGCAGAGTCTGCCTGCAGGAGAGCCTCCCCTCTACGAGATGTTTAGCATTCTTCGGGGGGTCCCCACTGACATGGATGACACTGTTAAGGTCAAGATCCACTATACTTACTACACAGTCTCACATAGCATACAGCGTATCTACCATCCAAAAATGACATCTTTGATTTTGGAGTACAAGAGATGCATCACGGAGTAGAAGAGAAGATTGGAGGCAGTTTCAGGGCCCATTTCAGGATCCTGATTGAAATGGAAGTTGAGAACTACAGTGCTGTGCAGGTGATTTTCAGCTGGGTATCTAGTCCTATTAAAGGCTAGAACTGTGATTGTCCAAGCTAAAACAATGGAGAGGTGAAAGATACAGAAAATAATAACATACAGTCAAACAATTCACCTCTAAGAGTTACAGTGTAATTCTTTGTAACCTATAGGCAGATGTAATTCTAAACTGGCAGCAGACTGTGAAATACAGTGTCACTACCAGACCCACCAAGGACAAGCTGTCCCTCTCCTCCAGCATAAGCATCACCCTGCATATCAGTACCACCAACAAAAGATGCTGTTTTCCAGCAGGCCTCTTTCTGTGGTCCAGAGGAATGGGAACACTTTCTATAAGCCTCCATTGCACACTTTAGTGCTTCTTACCCAGATGTGGGGCCCTATGCAACTATTTCGTCCTGACCAACAACCTGGCACTGTGTGCACGGTCATCCAGTATGTCAGTAAGTTCATGCATGATGTCACTAAGTGCATGATGTTCACTGCAGACTCCTTGTGATGGTGGACTACTGCAACAAAAATACACAGGCAATGCTGTGGCAGGAGCTGTAGCCAGAAGTCATGACCTCTTTAATGTGGCACCATGCACAGTGCAGCTGGCTACCTGGTCACTAAGGTGACCAAAAGGAGAGCTTTGCCTGACTGTCCTATCACATGCTTCAGACCAGCTAATATGACTCTTCAATATGCCTTTGGGGCACGTGAGTGAGATTAGCACCACGGCACTGTTGGCAACAGAGATGCTGCTCTACAGGGGTTGCTGGTCACTGCACACAGTACCAACAGTCATTGTGCTGTACCTGGTCTTTACAGGAGTTGCTGCCAGAACTCAGCAATGGCCTAGAACCTGGTGCCAGGCAGGCAGAGCTACAATTTTACTTGCCTGTTACCTTGTCCTTGATATCTGTGCTCTTCTCCTCACAGTGACTCTGGCCTTCACCCTGCTTCTGTGGGGCTCCTCCAGCCCTCCTTTCAGTCTGGTCTCTGGTCCAAGCCTAGATTTGGAGTTGCTTCTACTTCAGAAAGTGAGATTTTCCCTATCTCTACAATCTTTGTGTGGCTTCAGATATTACAAAATCTTAATTTCTTAAAGTAACTCAAGACCCATCTTTTAACTGGATGGGTGGTGCCTGCAGTGCAACCTTAAATATTACATTGGATTCAAATGTCTACCTGCAAGTTTTAACACTTTTTTGGGTAATATCTTGTTATACATCAACCCTGCTTGGTTTTTTGTTGTTGTTGGAGAAGAAACTCTGCAAGTGCACTTTCTAGTTTTTGTATGTATTTTAATTTAATTCATTAACTCAGACAGTCCCTTTGGTGAAAAGTTTGTATCTATTAGTGTATATTCTAAAAACTTATATTTTCTGCTGAAAAGTTCTTTCCTTGAAATACTGAAGGAGGTTTGCTGAATCTTTAAGCCTTTGGGCTCCATATACTTGTTTTGAGAAGCTGAGAAACTATAGAACTGGTTACACAGGAACAGATATTTTGTTTCTAAGAACTACTCTTGTGGCCTTTGATTCCTTTATTTCCTTATTTTCTGGATCCTTGTCAGTCGTGTTCATGGGTGGACTGCCAGTATCCGGCCAAATCTTTCCTGAAATGTTAACCTCTGGAATGCAGAGAACGTTTTCCCCAACTTTTGGGTAAACATAAATCACTCAGAGCCTCAGACATTTTAGTTAGTAACCTTTTACTAATTTTGCAATGAGTAAAAGAAGGAAGGCAATCGAGTTTAAAAATCTTGCTATTTAAGAAAATCAGCTTCTCTTGGGGGAAAATTTTAAGTGTGATTTTAGGAGAATGCATATTATTTAAATGGCCTGTCTAAAAATGTGATCATGTCCTTTTCAGTTTTGAAAAGAAGAATATCACAACTTCTTGTGTCTCTTAAATTTGAAGTCTAGATACTCATATTACATTTTCCAGTAAATTCTAAGAGCCCAGTGTTATTTTACTCAAAATGTATTACCTTTGAGTGAATTAAGAGTCTTTAAAAATCTATGTAATACAGAAACTTCATAAAAGTGGTAAAATAAGATTAGGGATAAAACATGTTCTTCAAAATTCTAAGGTTTCCAATATTCAAAGCACAGTGGAAAGGAAATGGGACAGACCAATTTTTAAAAGTCTAGCTTACATTCTAAAAGTTTATTTATGCCTTGGGGTGCCTGTGTGGCTTAGTCAGCTGAGCGACCATCTTTGGCTTAGGTCGTGATCTGGAGGTTCATGAGTTCGAACCCCGCATCAGGCTAGCAGTTGTGCAAGCTGCTGTCAGCGCAGAGCCTTCTTTGCATCCTCTGACTAACCCCCTCTGCCCCTCCCTTGCTGTCTCTCTCTCTCTCTCTCTCAAAAATAAAGAAACGTTAAAAGAAAAAAATTAAAAGTTTATTTACTTTATTTTTTTCATCTTCCAGTCAAAGGGCATTTGCTCTTTTTTTTTTTTTAATTTTTTAATGTTTTTATTCATTTCTAGGAGAGAGAGAGAGAGACAGTGTGAGCAGGGAGGGTCAGAGAGAGAGAGGGAGTCACAGACTGAAACAGGCTCCAGGCTCTGAGCTGGCAGTCAGCACAGAGCCCGACGTGGGGCTCGAACCCACGAACCGCGAGACCATGACCTAAGCGAAAGTCGGACACCTAAGCGAAAGTCGGACGCCTAACCGACTAAGCCACCCAGGCGCCCAGGGCATTTGCTCTTCTATGTGGCTTGAGAAACTGTCAAAAGTTCAAGATATATTAGAGTAGTGTAGGTATGATTTGTCCCCTGTGATATTACATGAATAACAAACAGAAAGCGGATAGCTTGGGATTATGGGGATTCTACTGTATATTGCAATTTAGCAACAGTTAGATGTGATTAATTAAATAAACACAGTATTTTCTCATTCTCAGACATAATTTGTAAAATGCTTAACTATTTCCTTGACAATAAACTAAGACTTAAGGAAAGATAAGTCAGGTTAAAAGAGAAGGGAAAGTTTAAGGATTACCTAGAAGTGTAGTAACTGGTGAGGACTCTGGGCGCCGCTGTTCACCAGTCTGAGAGAGAGGCACTGCTTGCGCGCGCGCACACACAAACACCCACCCACAGAAGAAAAAAAAATAGCTTCTTGGAACCTCCATTACCACCAGATTGAAAACAGTCTCCCTGAAGCTTCCTAGACCCTACTTCTGGACTACTTTCCGCTCTGAAAAATCTTCTGAAAATTCGGTTAATTTGGGCTTAGAAGAAAAGAGAAACAATATCCTTGGTACCGGACTGGGAGAAAACTACGAAAGGAGAGAGCGATGGTGATTCGGGAGAAGCCCAGCTGCAGTGAGCTGTTTCTGCTGTGCCTCTTTCTGGGGCTGTTGTTGGAAGCTTGGGCTGGGAAGATCCAATATACTGTGCCAGAAGAGACAGACAAAGCTTTCTTCGTGGGCAACATCGCCAAAGACCTGGGGTTACAACCTCAGGAGTTCACAGAGCGCAGAGTTCGCATCGTCACCAGAGGTAGGACGCAGCTTTTTGCTTTGAATCCTCGAAGCGGCAGCTTGGTCACAGCGGGCAGGATAGACCGGGAGGAGCTCTGTGCTCAGAGTGTGCCGTGTCTAGTGAGTTTTAACGTCTTGGTAGAGGATGAAATGAAGCTTTACCCTGTTGAAGTGGAAATAATTGATATTAATGACAACACTCCCCAATTTCAGTTAGACGAAGTAGAATTTAAAATGAATGAAATAACTACTCCAGGCACCAGGATCCTTCTGCCTTTTGGGCAAGACCTTGATGTGGGTATGAATTCACTGCAGAGCTACCAGCTAAGCTCCAACCCTCATTTCTCCCTGGATGTTCAACAAGGAGCTAATGGATCCCGGCACCCAGAGATGGTGCTGCAGAATCCCCTGGATAGGGAAGAAGAAGCTGCACACCACCTCCTTCTCACCGCCTCTGATGGGGGCAACCCAGTCCGTTCAGGAACCCTCCGCATTCATGTTCAGGTGGTAGATGTAAATGACAACCCTCCAGCATTTACTCAAGCAGAGTACCACATGAGTGTCCCAGAAAATGTGCCACTGGGTACTCTGCTGCTTACGGTAAAAGCTACTGACCCAGACGAAGGATCCAATGGGGAAGTAACATACTCATTTCACAATACAGACCACAAAATAGCCCAGATATTTCGATTGGATTCTTACACAGGAGAAATATCAAATAAAGAATCCCTCGATTTTGAAGGATACAAAATTTATCCAATGGAAATTCAAGCTCAGGATGGTGCAGGCCTCATGGCCAGAGCCAAGGTTCTAGTTAAAGTTCTGGACATAAATGATAATGCCCCAGAGGTAACCATGACATCTGTCACCACTGCAGTCCCGGAAAACTTTCCTCCTGGAGCTATAATTGCTCTTATCAGTGTGCATGACCAGGACTCTGGAGAAAATGGTGACACTACATGTTCCATTTCTGAAAATCTACCCTTTAAATTAGAAAAGTTAGATGATAGTTATTACCATTTAGTGACGGAAAGAACACTGGACAGAGAACTTACCTCCATCTACAAAATCACAGTAACAGCAACAGATCAAGGAATTCCATCTCTGTCTACAGAAACCTACATATCACTGCAAGTGACAGATATCAACGACAACCCCCCTGTTTTTCCCCAGGATTCCTACTCTACCTTCATTACAGAAAACAATCCCAGAGGTGCCTCCATCTTCTCCTTGAGAGCCGAGGATGCTGACAGCAATGAGAATGCACTAGTCACTTACTCCTTGGCAGAGGACACCATCCAGGGGGCGCCTCTATCCTCCTACATTTCCATCAACTCAGACACTGGTATTTTATATGCCCTGCGGTCCTTCGATTATGAACAGTTCCGCGACCTTCAACTGAGAGTGATGGCGTGTGACAGCGGGGACCCCCCACTCAGCAGCAATGTGTCGCTGAGCCTGTATGTGCTGGACCAGAACGACAATGCCCCTGAAATCCTGTATCCAGCGCTCCCCACCGACGGTTCCACAGGCGTGGAGCTGGCGCCCCGGTCCGCAGAGCCCGGCTACCTGGTGACCAAGGTGGTGGCGGTGGACAGAGACTCTGGCCAGAACGCCTGGCTGTCCTACCGCCTGCTCAAGGCCAGCGAGCCAGGGCTCTTCGCGGTGGGGCTGCACACGGGCGAGGTGCGCACCGCGCGGGCCCTGCAGGACAGAGATGCGCTCAAGCAGAGCCTGGTGGTGGCTGTGCAAGACCACGGCCAGCCCCCTCTCTCAGCCACCGTCACGCTCATTGTGGCCGTTGCCGACAACATCCCAGACGTCCTGGCTGACCTGGGCAGTCTTGAGCCCTCAGCGGACCCTGACTCCTCAGGCCTCACGCTGTACCTGGTGGTGGCGGTGGCCGCAGTCTCCTGCATCTTTTTGGCCTTTGTGATCGTGCTGCTGGGACTCAGGCTGAGACGCTGGCATTCATCCCGTCTGCTCCAGGCTGCGGGGGTCGGATTCGCTGGTTTACCGGCCTCGCACTTTGTGGGCGTGGACGGGGTTCGGGCTTTCCTGCAGATGTATTCCCACGAGGTCTCGCTCAGGGCGGACTCCCGCGAGAGTCACGTGATCTTCCCGCAGCCTAACTATGCGGACACGCTCATCAGCCAGGAGAGCTGTGGGAAAAGCGAGCCTCCGCTGATAACTCAGGATTTACTTGGAGACAAAAAGGAAGCATTTTCTCAGGTAAACGTTTTGTAAATTTATCTAGGTAAAAATAATTCCCGAGTTTACTTACCATTCAGTTTTTTGCTACTAATAGTTCTATTTCCCACATATCTTTGTAGATTTCTGTTTACAAATTCTGGGAAATTACCAGTATGTGTTTATATCCAGGCATAATTATGATTGCTTTTTCATTGAAAAGCAAACTGTAAATTAACTCTAATGAAGGTGATTGGGATGAAGAGTTTTGTGTGAGGTACTGTCTTGGTGTGGAAAGAGCACTGCATCAGAAATAAGAAGATATGACATAATATTTTCCTGTTTTCCTTTGGCGAAATAATTTTACTTTTCTGTTTACCATTCTCTTGCCTAGCAAGGATAGGGTTTGACTATAAAAGATCCATCAAAATTTATGTGACTAATAGTGTTTTCAAATTTCTCTCAGTTACAAATACTAATTTGTTCCTAAATTTAATATAGATGTTGTCTGTCAAGGTGGTGTTTTATCTGGGGATATTTGAAGAGGTAAAGGTTGTCTAAAGTAATATTTTTGTTTGTGTTAATGATTATATAAATCCATGTAAGTTGTAAATTTTTGTTCAATATCTTGGCCCTTTGTGTCATCTCTTATTTCTAGATAATATATGTATGCTGAAGAATACATTAGATGTTTAAGTAACTTATGAAATGAGGTAATAAAATGAACAACGGAAATTTTATTGTGCAACTTGAAAAATAGTTTCTAAGTCTCCTGACTTGTATATTATGCCCATAATGGAAATAACTGACAAAAACTAGGTATATATTCCATTTTAATGTGTGTATTAACTGTTCACAGGAAATGTATCATAGATGAGTAAGTCCATGCTTTGATATACTTACTGTGCTCCAGTAAATTAAAGATATATATCAAAGATAAAAAGAAGAAAGCAAAAGCATGGTAAGGCACAAATAAAAGATATAAATGGATCAAAGATGGAAAAGAAAGTGGTGAGCCAGGCTAAACCTGTGGGAATTATAGTCTTGGCTTAGATGTAGACATTGAAGATGAGGAGGTTGTTCCAGCCCTTTAGCAGGGACAGAGTGTTGGGCTAAACAAGGGACCTGAGCCAAACTTGCTACTTGAATCCAAAATAAGCAGGTTAGACCCTCAGCTAGTTAAAAAAGGAGAAATTTCATTAAAATGCCAACTACCAATTCCTGTGGTCACAACTTTTTGCAACCTGCAGATCAAGGGAGAGAGGTAGATACAGATACTGGCTTCAGAAAATGACCACTAAATTTCTTGGACTTGAGCTGTGATATTCATAGTATTACAGCTGCACACCATTAAAAGACCTACTTATGGCCTGGGGCCTGGGATAGAAACAATTTAAAAACCATTAGAGACAAAGCCCTGAACTGATGAGAGAGGGAGACTGGGAGAGAAAGTAGAAGAAAAAGAGCAATTAAAAAAAACCTTTCTGGGGTGCCTGGGTGACTTACTCAGTTGAGCGTCTCACTTCAGCTCAGGTCATGATTTCATGGTTCCGGAGTTTGAGCCCTCCATTGGGCCTTGCTGATGTCAGCACTGACCCAATAAGAATCCTCTGTCCCCCTCTCTTTCTCTGCTCCCTCCCCTGCTCATGCTCTCTCTTTCTCTCTCTCTCAAATAAAATAAAATGCTCTTCCACTTAAAATAAATGTACAGACCAAAATGTTGAAACACATTGTCTTCTGGAGTTTGTTGCTGAGATACTTTCAACAAATTATCAGTTTAAAGTACCTCCATTTTCTCTCTGATGGCTTTAAAATTTTTCTCTTATTTTTGTATGTCTGAGTGTTGATTTTTATTTTTATTGTGTGTCTGGAGTATACGTTCTATTAATAATATAAGTTATTTCCATTCTGCATTTTCTCAGCTCCTGTTACTTAAATATTTTGCCTGTGTGTATATCTTACAATTCTATTTATTATACCTCAATAAAGAAGGAAAAATTACAAAGCAAACATTTAAAAATAGTAAAAGGAAACAAAAAAATTGGACATTTAAATTTGTACTCCTAAATTACTCTTGGATTACAAATAATCACAATGGAAATAACTACTGTAGAAAGGAACAAAAATTTAAACATTATTTAAAATTGTGGAATACAGCTAAAATAGTACTTGGGGGGGGCGCCTGGGTGGCATAGTCGGTTAAGCGTCCGACTTTCGCTTAGGTCATGATCTCGCGGTTCGTGGGTTCGAGCCCCGCGTCAGGCTCTGTGCTGACTGCCAGCTCAGAGCCTGGACCCTGTTTCGGTCTGTGACTCCCTCTCTCTCTGACCCTCCCCTGCTCACGCTGTCTCTCTCTCTCTCTCCTAGAAATAAATAAAACATTTAAAAAAAATAGTACTTAGGGGTAAGTTTATTGACAAATACAATAACTAAAGGCAAAACAAAACATATGATTTAAAATAAGTGAATTTAGCAAGCCACACAAGAAACAAGGCAAAAAAAAAAAAGAAAAAAGAAAAAAAACCAACCCCATGTTATATCAGCATCCACGTAAAGAAAATAATAGGAAAAATAACCAAGATAAGAGTATCAATTATTGATATGCAAACAAGGAAAAATTCTCATGAAAAAGCAATAGAAACAGATAATAAAAGTCATACTGAAACTGGTGGGGAGAAATTAAAATTCTGTCAAGTCCAGTGGTGGGACTAATATATAGTAGGCAGATGTCATGACTAAAATTCTTTTTAAATATTTTAAAAGAAAATCCCATATTCTGATTAAAAACAAAGTCTTGGAAAAGGATAAAGAAAAGCAAGAGAGACTGGGGGGAAAATAAAACAACTTGATAAATCAAGCAAGAAGTATGAGTGGGAAATAATATACAGAGTAAAACCATGTATTTTCAAAGACAAAGAACAGATAATCTCTAGAGAGCTGCAATAAAGGATGTTGAACAGTTACTTAATGAGACTTGAAAGGATCAAAACAATGTTGATGAAAAGATTTAAAAAATCTAAAAAAGTGGAGGCCCTACTATAAAACAAGGTGAGCTGATATCAATTGTTTGCAATTTTTTCCATTCTCAGAGGAATGGATAAAAGTAAAATTGGGGGCACCTGGGTGGCTCAGTTGGTTAAGCATCCAATTCTTGATTTCAGCTCGGGTCATGATACTAAAGTCATGGGATGGAGCTCTGTGTAGGGCTCTGCAGTGAGTGTGGAGCCTGTTTGGAATTCATTTTCTCTCTCTCTCTCAAAAAAAAAAAAAAAGTAAAAATGACAAAAGTTCAGTAGGGAAGAAACCCAAAGGCAAACAGACCGAAGTATACAGAAGTGGGCAATCTCACTTAAGAAAGTTGATTTAGAGGCACCTGACTGGCTCAGTTGTAAAATCATATACATCTTGATTTTGATATCATGATTTTGAACCCCACGCTGGATATAGAGATTACTTAAATAAACAAATATATTTTAAAAAGAATTTGACTCAAAATCTTAATTAAGATATTATCAAACCCCACCTACTATATATTTAAAAGCTTTATTTATAGCTTATGACTTAGTAGGGTTTATTTCAGGAATGCAAGGATATTCTAGTATGAGAAAATCTAACAATGCAAAACTCCATATTAAGAAATTAAGGATAAAAACGTATATATTCATTTAGAAAGAGACATAATAAAGCTCTTGAGACTGTTCAGCAATGATTAAAATCTTTTAGCAAACTAATAGTTGAATAAAACACCTTTAACTTGATAAAGAGTACCTAGCAAAAACTTACAGAACCACCAAAAGCAATCTACAGATTCAATGCAATACGTGTCAAAATCCCAATGACTTTTTTTTGCAGAAACAGAAGAAAAATCCATTCCAAAATTCATACAGAGTATCAAGAAACCTCAAATAATGAAAACAATCTTGAAAAAGAAGAACAAAGAACAAACCTCCTTCAATTTCATTCTGACTCTCACCTCCAAGCATTGGTACTGAGGTTCTAGAAAACCTCTTCTTGACCCATTCCTGCCCTTTAGTAGTCATCTTCAATAATGTCTTGGAAAAGTGCTGACCCCCAGATCTAGACTGGATACCCTTCTTATTGCCTAGTGGTTCCCACCTTTGTAGCAGTTAGCACATACTATTAAAATACTCTATTTACTTTCCTGTGTCCTCTCCTGTCCTGGAAGCTTCCTGAGAACAAGGACTGTGTTCATCAGGTTCACGATTTCTTTCTCCAGCATCAGTCAGGCAGTGGTGTCAGGTATACAGTAGTCACCCAATTAAATATCTGATAACTTAATCTTTAGAATACAGGTGTTGAAGTTAAATTCTAAGCCATGAAGCACAGAAACACAAAATGTATAGCCTTAGAAGATAAAGTAGCTAATGTTCTAAAGTTGATCTTATTCCTTTTGGATATAAAGTAAGTTGAAGATACTTGGAGCAAGGGCAGTGGCAGCCCTGATTAATGCCTTGAGTGTTCACTAGTCATACTTTTCCTAGCAACTACTATCAAGGTCACATTTGTTTACACATTCTTATTAATCCTGAGAAAAAGTCTCCTGACTTGAAAGAGATATTTGTAAGGCATGGTAAAACTGTAAGATTCTTCAAAGCAACTTCAAAGTTGCAAAGCTAACGAGCAAGAAATAACTTGGGTTTCCCTTAGAGGGTGCAGAAATAACTTAAGCCTCTGAGCGTCGCTGTTCACCACCTGAGAAGTGAAAAGGCTGCAACACCTCAGTACAACATTCCGGCTCCCACAGCAAATAGGGCTGGGCATTTGGCCCCCAGGCTTCCGGGCGGAAAAAAAAAAAATAACCAGCCCAGCAGCCCAAAATTCTCTCTACAGTGACCTGGGTCCTGTGAAAGCTGGTCCCCACAGACCCTGAGGAATAAAGAGGAATAAAACTGGATGCTGGAAGTTGCCTGGGAGAAAAGATTGCAGCAGAAGAAATGGCGGCTCTGCAAAAGTTGTCACAACGCGGAAGGCTTATCCGGTTGTGCTTTCTTTTGGTGGTTTTGTGGGAGGCCGGAGCTGGACAGATGCACTATTCTGTGCCAGAAGAGATTGACAAAGGCTCCTTCGTGGGCGACATCGCCAAGGACCTGGGGCTGGAGCCTCTGACACTGGCAGAACGCGGAATCCGCATAGTCTCCAGAGGTAGGATGCAGCTCTTTGCTCTGAACCCGCGAAGCGGCAGTTTGATTACCGCAGGCAGGATAGACCGAGAGGCGCTTTGTGCTCAGAGTGCGCGGTGCCTGGTGAATTTTAACATACTCCTGGAAGACAAGTTGAATATTTATTCAGTAGAAGTGGAAATAACAGATATTAACGATAATGCCCCTCGCTTTGGAGTGGACGAACTGGAGTTAAAAATCAGTGAAACCAATACGCCAGGATTCCGAATTCCTCTAAAGAGTGCGCATGATGCAGATGTAGGAGAAAACACCCTTCAGAAGTACGAACTGAACCCAAATGACCACTTCTCCCTGGATGTGCGAAGCGGAGTGGATGGGAACAAGTACCCTGAGCTGGTGCTGGAGCTTGCCCTGGACCGCGAAGAGAAGGCTGTTCACCACCTAGTCCTTGTGGCTTTGGATGGGGGCAGCCCGGTCCGATCTGGCACTTCCCGCATCCACGTGACTGTTATGGATGCTAACGACAATGCCCCTGTATTTACACAGTCCGAGTACCGTATAAGTGTTCCTGAGAATATGCCCGTAGGCACCCGGATACTCACAGTGACCGCTACTGACACAGATGAGGGATACAATGCCCAAGTGGCATATTTTCAAGAGAAAAATCCTGGAGAAACCTCAGAGATATTTGAGCTTGAGTCGGCATCTGGAGATATAACAATCATAAAAAGGCTAGACTATGAGGATGCCAAAGTCCATGAAATTGATATTGAAGCTCAGGATGGTCCTGGCCTTCTGACCAGAACAAAGGTTATTGTGACAGTTCTGGATGTGAATGACAATGCCCCAGAATTTTACATGACATCTTCTACCAGCTCAATTCCTGAAGACTCTCCTCCAGGAACCGTAATTGCACTTTTCAATGTATATGACAGAGACTCTGGGCAGAATGCATTTATCACATGTTCACTCCCAGAGAACCTTCCTTTCAAGTTAGAAAGATCAGTGGACAATTACCACCGACTGGTTACAACCAGAGCCCTTGACAGGGAACAGTTTTCCTCTTACAACATCACTGTGACTGCTAAAGATGGAGGAAAACCATCTCTGTCCACGGATGCTTACATTATGCTGCAGGTGGCAGACATCAATGACAACCCACCCACCTTTCCTCACATGTCCTACTCTGCCTACATTCCTGAAAACAATCCCAGAGGTGCTTCTATCATTTCTGTAGTGGCCCATGACCCTGACAGTGACGATAATGCCCGTGTAACTTATTCTTTGACTGAGGACACTCTTCAAGGTGCACCCCTGTCGTCTTACATCTCCATCAACTCTGACACTGGCATCCTGTATGCATTGCGCTCCTTTGACTATGAGCAGTTCCAGGATTTGCAGCTGTGGTTGACTGCATGGGACAATGGGAACCCACCCCTCAGCAGCAACGTGTCTCTGAGCATATTCGTGCTGGACCAGAACGACAATGCCCCTGAAATCCTGTATCCAGCGCTCCCCACCGACGGTTCCACAGGCGTGGAGCTGGCGCCCCGATCCGCAGAGCCCGGCTACCTGGTGACCAAGGTGGTGGCGGTGGACAGAGACTCTGGCCAGAACGCCTGGCTGTCCTACCGCCTGCTCAAGGCCAGCGAGCCAGGGCTCTTCGCGGTGGGGCTGCACACGGGCGAGGTGCGCACCGCGCGGGCCCTGCAGGACAGAGATGCGCTCAAGCAGAGCCTGGTGGTGGCTGTGCAAGACCACGGCCAGCCCCCTCTCTCAGCCACCGTCACGCTCAATGTGGCCGTTGCCGACAACATCCCAGACGTCCTGGCCGATCTGGGCAGCATCAGGACGCCGACCGACCCAGAGGATGCTGACCTCACGCTGTACCTGGTGGTGGCGGTGGCCGCAGTCTCCTGCATCTTTCTGGCCTTTGTGATCGTGCTGCTGGGACTCAGGCTGAGGCGCTGGCACTCATCCCGACATCTCCAGTCGGCGGGGGTCGGGTTGGCGGGCGTGCCGGCCTCACGCTTTGTGGGCGTGGACGGCGTGCGAGCTTTTCTGCAGACGTATTCGCACGAGGTCTCCCTCAGGGCGGACTCCCGGGAGAGTCACGTGATCTTCCCCCAGCCCAACTATGCGGACACGCTTCTCAGTCAGGAGAGCTGTGAGAAAAAGGATTTTCTATCAGCACCCCAGTCTTTACTTGAAGATAAAGGAGAAGAAATATCTCAGGTAAACTCCCTTCACAGTATACTTATGAGGTATTGCTAAAATAAATAGATATATTTACTTCGCCGCTTCCATTGTTTACCACGTGTTTTCTGTTTCACATATTTCCTTGTGAATATATCATTTTTAAGGACATGAGTCCTGGTGAATTATTTCTCAGTAGTTCTGAGAAATGTGTGTTTATACTGTGTACGGGGGGAGTGGGGGTTAGAATCATTGTACCATGAGTTTAAATCAGGAGTTACTATTGGGTGAATATTATATTTAGGTTATCAAAGAGCATTGCATTAGGAACTAGTGTATCTGGTTTCTCCTACTTTCTTTCTCCTCCCTGGGCAAATCATCTCGTCTACCTGGATCCAATAATTTTTTTCCTCTCTTAAAAATATGAGGATTGAGGAATGCCTGCCTGGCTCAGTCAGTGAAGCATCTGACTCTTGATCTTGGGGTGGCGAGTTTGAGCTCCATATGGTGGGTAGAGTTTATTTTAAAAAAGAAAGATTATTTTTAAAAAAGGAAGGTTGAATTTTATGTTTACTCAAGTGCTTTAAAATTCAAGGTTTTGTTTTATAATTTAACTTGTGAATAGTGAAACATTTTAGTTGTCTAATGCCTACACTCAGTTGCAATATTTTTCCTTCAGTTTGGCAGTGAGGTCCTTCATTTTATTTGATTCATATGGCCTTCCCTATTTAAAGTATGGAAATTTAGATATATATACTCCACTGTGTTTTAGGAAGGTATGTCATGGTATCTCCACTTAGTTAAAAATCCCACTGACATCTAAAGTAGCTCTGTGTTGGGGTGACTGGGTAGCTCAGTCAGTTAAGTGTTGGTCTTCTGTTCAGGTCATGATCTCATGGTTCGTAGGTTCGAGCCCTGCACTGGGCTCTGTGCTGACAGCTCAAAGCCTGGAGCCTACTTCAGATTCTGTGTCTCCCTCTCTCTCTGCCCCTCCCCCACTCATGCTCTGTCTCTCAAAAATGAATAAATGTTTTAAAAAAGTAGCTCTGTGTTGGTTGATGAAGTGATTGAATTCTTGTTTGCTCTATAATAAATGGGCAGTGTAATAGTAAACACATTTCTCTTTGATATTTTTATTTTTTCATATCTGGAAACCATATTTACTTTTTATCTTTAAAAATATTATCTATCCTTCAAGGGATTCAGAGGCCATATCAAATAATAGCCCTTAAATATCCTCCGTATACATCTGTCTTCTCAAAGATTTCTTCTCAGAGCAGCTGTTAAAAATATTTCCAGTCCCTCACCTAACCCCAGTCTCCCTCACAGCCACTGTCTTCCTTCCTCATTCTTGTTTCCATGTTGGCTTTTAGTATGTCAGTTATGTTTTTAATAATGAAGAACAACAAATACACTAATAGTCTATGTAACTAGGATCACTTTAAATTTTGATTTGGAAGGAATCATATACTGAGTATTGAATTTAATGGTATTATCATCTTTCAAGGTGCTGTGATATTTTACTATATTTAAGGGCATTTGAAAAGAGTTGATCTGAGCCAATGCACTCAGTTGTGTTTATAACTATTAAATAATTCTCTATGAGCTAAAACTAGAACCCACTGTGGAATAATACATCATAACATCTTTACTTCTAAGTAATAAAGTTTAAACTGAGGAAAATTAAAGACAGAGTTCCATTTAGTGTATATAGTATCTTTTCACAAGAATAAATACTTTATGGATAAGTTTATAACACTGCATGGTTGAAATGACAAATATATTTCTATTTTTGTGTCTGGAGAGGAAAACTAAAACAGAGAGGTTTCTGGAACATAAAACAAAGGTTTATCTCTGCTAGTTTCAGTTGTGGTGTTTAAAAAAACACCCTCACTCTAAATTTAGACAAACTGAACTACTTCCAGTACCCTGAGGTGTGTGATTTCTCTCTTACATCTAGAAGTTGCCATACTGTTGTCTCTCACATCTAGGCCTTTTCCTTGATCCACTCCTGTTTCTTGGGAAAGCCTTTGCTAATTTCCAGGGCCAGGTTGGAGGCCCTCCCATCACCTTTGCTTTCTCCCATTATGGTAGTTGTCTCAGTGCACTGGAATTCCTTGTTTGATTGTATATCTACATAGCTTTGGGCAGGAAGTGGTTATGTTCATAACATTGAATTTTCACATACTGTCTAACACCCAAGTATATGTTTGTTTAATTGAATGGTTTAAACTACAAATATTGAGGGGCGCCTGGGTGGCTTAGTCGGTTAAGCGTCCGACTTTCGCTTGGGTCATGATCTAGCGGTTCGTGGGTTTGAGCCCCGCATCGGGCTCTGTGCTGACTGCCAGCTCAGAGCCTGGAGCCTGTTTCAGAGTCTGTGTCTCCCTCTCTCTCTGACCCTCCCCTGCTCACTCTCTGTCTGTCTCTCTCTCAAAAAAAAAAAAATAATAATAATAAACATTAAAAAAATGTTTTAAACTACAAATATTGAAACTAAGATGTCAGGCTATCAAGGACAAACTTTAATAAATATAACCTTTAAATATATGGCTGATATTTCCGTGTGGTTTTTAAATTTTGAACGTTTCAAAACAGTAATTCCAGCATGTTTGAAGCGATATTGGTGGTCTTAATGCTCTAGCATGACATCCTGGGGAACATGCTTTAATATATAATACTTCAACTGTGTGAAATAGACACCAATCCTATTACTTGTGATACAGAGGATTTCAGGTGTTGGGAAACTTAAAAATTACTAACTTAAGTTTATCTGAGAGGGTGCAGTAAACCATTAGGCCTCTGAGTGTCGCTGCTGACCACTCGAGGAGGAAAACGGAGCTGGAGAGCTAGTCCACCATTTCCTTGTTCCTAAAAAGCAAAGAACCAGTCAGTCAGACTCGAGAAGATCCGAGCTGCTACAAAGCTCATCCTGTCACTCAACCAGCTCTGTGACCCATAAATTAGGACCATAAAAGGCTTAGTTCCTTGAGAAAAAAATAAGATTTGAGTCCATTGTGGGCATTTGGAGCCACATTCACAGAAAATAATTCACCAAAGAGGAAATGACCAAATATCTGAGAGTCAGACATTGCAGAGGATTGTCCCTGCTATTTGTACTTCTGTGGATGCTAAGCAAGACTGGATCCGGGCAGATCCACTACTCAGTGCAAGAGGAGCTGGACAAAGGATCCTTTGTGGGCAACATTTCCAAGAACCTGGGACTGGAGCCCTGGGAGCTGGCAGAGCATGGAGTCCGCATCGTCTCCAGAGGTAGGACTCAGCTCTTTGCTCTGAACCTGCGAAGCGGCAGCTTGGTCACTGCAAGCAGGATAGATCGGGAGGAGCTCTGCGCTCAGAGCACTATGTGTCTAGTAAAATTTAACATCCTAGTAGAAGACAAATTGAAAATTTTTGAAGTAGAAATAGAAATTAAAGACATTAATGATAATGCTCCTGATTTTCTAACAGAGGAATTGGAATTAAAAATTGGTGAACTAACAGTTCCTGGAACTCAGTTTCCACTTAAGACTGCATTTGACCCAGATGTGGGCATGAATTCTCTTAAGAACTACCATCTCAGCCCCAATAACTACTTTTCTCTGACTGTGAAGCATGTCTCTGATGGGACCAAGTACCCAGAGCTGGTGTTGGAGAGGGCTCTGGACCGTGAGCAAAAGGAAGTTCATCAGCTTGTTCTTATTGCTTCTGATGGTGGCAACCCTGTCCGCTCTGGCAACTTGTACATCCAAGTGATAGTTTTGGATGCAAATGACAACCCACCAGTATTTACTCAATCTGAGTATCAATTAAGTGTTCAAGAGAACTTGCCAGTGGGTACCACGCTGCTCACAGTGAATGCTACTGACCCTGATGAAGGATTCAATGCTCAAGTGTCCTATATTCTAGATAAAATGCCTGGGAAAGTCGCTGAGATTTTTTATCTCAACTCAGTGACTGGAGATATATCAATATTAAAAAGTCTAGATTACGAGGATGCTGTGTTCTATGAAATTAAAATTGAAGCACAAGATGGACCTGGTCTGCTTTCAAGAGCTAAGATTTTAGTCACAGTTCTGGATGTGAATGACAATGCCCCAGAAGTAACAATCACTTCTCTTACTGGATCAGTCCTGGAAGAGGCTACTGCGGGAAGAGAAATTGCCCTTATCAATGTGCATGACCGGGATTCTGGGCAAAATGGGCAAGTCACAGTTTTTGTCCTGGGAAATGTGCCATTTAATTTAGAAAAATCAATAGACCAATATTACCGCTTAGTGACAGCCAGATCTCTGGACCGCGAACAGGTGTCTGAATATAACATCACTCTCAGAGCCACAGATGGAGGAAGTCCCCCACTGTCCACGAACATTCACATCACTCTGCATGTTGCAGACATCAATGACAACCCACCTGCCTTCAGTCAGGCCTCCTATTCAGCATACATTCCCGAAAACAACCCCAGGGGAGCTTCCATCTTCTGTGTGACCGCCCAGGATCCCGACAGCATCCAAAACGCCCACATCACTTATGCAGTGACTGAGGATACCATCCAGGGGGCGCCTCTCTCCACCTATATCTCCATCAATTCTGACACCGGTGTCCTGTATGCTCTCCGTTCCTTTGACTATGAGCAGGTTAGAGACCTGAAGCTATTGGTGACAGCCAGTGACAGTGGGAACCCACCCCTCAGCAGCAATGTGTCGCTGAGCATATTCGTGCTGGACCAGAACGACAATGCCCCTGAAATCCTGTATCCAGCGCTCCCCACCGACGGTTCCACAGGCGTGGAGCTGGCGCCCCGGTCCGCAGAGCCCGGCTACCTGGTGACCAAGGTGGTGGCGGTGGACAGAGACTCTGGCCAGAACGCCTGGCTGTCCTACCGCCTGCTCAAGGCCAGCGAGCCAGGGCTCTTCGCGGTGGGGCTGCACACGGGCGAGGTGCGCACCGCGCGGGCCCTGCAGGACAGAGATGCGCTCAAGCAGAGCCTGGTGGTGGCTGTGCAAGACCACGGCCAGCCCCCTCTCTCAGCCACCGTCACGCTCACTGTGGCCGTTGCCGACAACATCCCAGACGTCCTGGCCGATCTGGGCAGCATCAGGACGCCGACCGACCCAGAGGATGCTGACCTCACGCTGTACCTGGTAGTGGCGGTGGC